GAAATAAAATTTTAGAGGCTGGCCACAAAACCAAAGTGAGTGGCACTAAATGGACCATATGTTTTGAATATATATTTGATATTAAAACAATAAAAATATTATATTATATTATATTAAAACAAGTAAAACCAGTAAAAAAACCTCTTAAAGTCGGGCGGGCCGACTTTATGATACCCTACAACACTTTGCTAACAATTAAAAGTTTTTATGGGAGAATTCAATCATACACGCTATGATTATAATTATAATTTAAAGTTCAAAGGACTAAATATGCTGAAGAATTTGTATCTTTTAAATTCGGACTTGTATTGCCCATTTGGTGTTGAATTAATTTAAAATCGGATAAAGATATATATGGGAGCTATATCCAAATCTGAACCGATCTCGATAAAATTTGGCAAAGATATTTCTGAGCTGTATTTGATATATTTCCCTGAATATCGTTGTTACAGAGTGCATATTACGGCTGCGGAGGACAAAAATAAAAAATCGGATTAACAGTATATGTGTGAGCTATAGCTATATCTGAACCGATCTTCACCAAATTAAACATTCTAGCTTCTAGACTCAATTCGGTCGTAAGTGCCAAATTCCATCCCATTTGGACAAATATTAGACGTTTGGTGCACAATCAAAGGTAAATCGGAGGAAGTTTTATATGGGAGCTTTATCCAAATCTGAACCGATCTCGATAAAATTTAGCAACTGTATTACTGAGCTGCATTTGCTATATTTCCCCAAATATTGTTGTTACAGAGTGCATATTACGACTGCGGAGGACAAATATAACAAATCGGATGAACAGTATATATGGGAGCTATAGCTATATCTGAACCGATTTCGATCAAATATGGAATACTTATTTTCAGGCCAAATTTGGTTGTATGTACAAAATTCCATACTGTTCGGACTGATATTACACGTTTGGTGGCCAATAAAAGGCAAATCGGACGAAGATATATATGGGAGCTATATCTAAATTTTGACCGATTATCTCCAATGTCAATAGGGTTCGTTTTTGGGCCAAACAAGTGATTTGTGCAAAATTTCATTTAGATAAGACAATAAATGCGAACTGTACTTTGTTTACAAAAATACATGGACAGACGGACGGACATGTATAAATCGACTCAAAATATGATTTTATGCAGATCATCAAAAGTAACTATGGGTCTAACTCGCTTCCTTTTGCCTGTTACAAACAAATGCCCAAAGACATAATACCCTGACCACCTTGTGGTGTGGGGTATAAATATTGGTATGGGCAAAATTACAAGAAAATCGAACATTTATATCCAATTTATGGGAAATCATAAATTCAATATTCATCTCAGGTTTCTGGTTGAGAGAAATATTTAGATATAGTAAGTTGTAAAGAATCGCCGATTTTTTTTCGGAAGTTATGACAAAGGGAAGAAGGGGTCCGCAGATATATATATCATCTTCAAAACAGATATTGTTTTATCAAAAATATTTGTGTGTGTGAAATATGAGGAGTGTTGATTGCTTATTCCGTTTTCTTTTCAATGTGGGACGGGTAGCACAAGAAATTGTCCGATATCTACCATCTTTATAACAGATCTTGTGTTGATGGAAATATTAAGACGTACCAAGTCTGGAATGGAATCGGATGTTAATTTCGCTTTTTTATGAGCTTCATGGTTATTCAAAATTTTGAACCTTTGTGGGGGAGGTACCAGAAGAACTGGACCGATATATGCCATCTTCGCAACAAATATTGTGTTAATAGAAATAATGGGATGTGTGAAATATCAAGAGAACCTGCTTCTTATTTGGGGTTTTGTGACCTTAATGGATATTCAAAATTTTGACCCTTTGTAGTCGAGGTACCAGAAGGAATGGTTCGATCTCTACCGGTTTTATAACAGATCCTGTGTTGATAGAAATATTCAGATATGCCAAGTCTAAATTGAATCGGATATTAATTTCGCGTTTTATGAGTTTAATTTTTTAAAAAAATTGTCCTTTTGTGGGGGAGGTACCAGAAGGAGTGGACCGATATATTCCATCTTAACACCAGGCCTAGGTTTAATAAAATTATCGAGATGTGTGAAATATGAAGACAATCGGATTCGTATATCACATTTTATAAGAGTTGTAATTATTCAAGAATTTGAACCTTTGTGGGGGATGTACCAGCAGGAGTGGACCGATATCGTCCATTTTTACACCGGACCTAGTGCTGACGCAAATATTAGGATATGCAAAGTTACGATAATCGAAATTTGACACTTTGTGGGGGAGGTACTTGATGCAGTGGACCGATATTCATCCATTTTCGCACCTAACCTAGAACTGATGCTGATATTAGGATTTGCAAAGTTTGAACAAAATCTGATCATTTTTTTTACCTTTTGTGGGGGAGGTACCAGAAGGAGTGGACCGATATTGTTCATTTTCGCACCTGATGTAGCACTTACGCAAATATTAGGATTTGCAAAGTTGGAGCAAATTCGCATTATCCTTTCCCTTTCTGTGCAAAAAATATATTTTTTGAAAATGTCGACCTTTTTTGGGGGAGGTACCAGAAGAGATAAACGGATATATTGCATCTTAACATCAGACCTTGGGCTAATAAAAATGATGGGATGTGTGCAATTTGAAGATAATCGGATTTCTACATCACATTTTATGGGAGCTGTAATTATTCAAAATGTTGACCATTTGTGGGGGAGGTACTTGATGCTGAGGACCGATATTGTTCATTTTCGCACCTAACCTAGAACTGATGGAAATATTAGGATTTGCAAAATTGGAGCAAAATCGGAATATCGTTTCGCTTTCTGTGCAGCAAATATATTTTTGTCGACCTTTTGTGGGTGAGGTACCAGAAGGGGTAGACTGATATATTTCATCTTAACACCAGACCTTGGGTTAATAAAAATATTGCGATGTGTAAAATTTGAGAATAATCGGACTTCTACATCACATTTTATAACAGTTGTAATTATTCAAGAATTGTAACCTTTGTGGGGGAGGTACCAGCAGGAGTGAACCGATATCGTCCATTTTCACACCTGACCTAGCACTGACGCAAATATTAGGATATGCAAAGTTAGAGCAAAATCAGATTATACTTTCTCTTTCTGTGCAAAAAAATATATTTTTTGAACATTTCGACCTTTAGAGGGGGAGGTATCAGAAGGAGTAGACCGATATTGCCCATCTCCGCACTCGATCTAAGTTTGATAAAAAATATTACGATGTGGCAAGTTTGGGCCAAATCTTATAATCCCTTCGAGAGTTTTCGTGCGCACCAGCCAGTCAGACTGACAGACGGACGTACGGACGGACATCGCTAGATCGACTCCAAATGTCGTGAAACGGATTTGGTCCAAAGAGACCTAGGGCCTAAAACCGTTACTTCGACTAGGCACGTTTTGACCGTATCAAATGATATATACCCTCTCTAGCCATATGACTGAGAGTATAAAAAGCTGTAAATTCGGCTGGGCTGAAATTTGAATACCTTCCACCATTTAAAACGAATTGACAATTTTCAAAAAAAAAAAAATAAATAAATAAAATCAGGTAAAAATTCCGTTGAAATCTTAAAAGTACCGAATGTAGCCGTTCTATTAGGGTCTATACATCGACGTGAACCTGGAATGTCTCTAAAATCATCAAAATACCAAATATCAGGAGGTACCGTTATATGGAGGCTATACGAAGACGTGGACCTGCGCAGACCATTTTCTGTCTTAGGCTGTAGTAGCCATTACGAATTTCAAAACCAATTTGAAACAATTCCGACGAATAATTTCGCTAAAATCGTTAAAATACCGAATATCGGGAGGTGCCGTTATATTAGGGCTAAACGAAGACGTGGACCTGCACAGACAATTTTCTGTCTTAGGCTGTAGCATCCATTTTGGACTTCAAATACCAAATTTTAAATATTTCCGGTGAACAATGTCGCTTAAATCACCAAAATATGGAGGTACCGATATATGGGGGCTATACGAAGACGTGGACCTGCGCAGACCATTTTCTGTCTTAGGCTGTAGTAGCCATTACGAATTTCAAAACCAATTTGAAACAATTCCGACGAATAATGTCGGTAAAATCATCAAAATTCCGAATATCGGGAGTTGCTGTTATATGGGGGCTATGCAAAGACGTGGACCTGCATAGACAGTTTCCTGCCATAGGCTGTAGTAGCCATTACGAACTTCAAATAGCAAATTTGAAACAATTCCGGTAAATAATGTCGCTAAAATCATCAAAATACCGAATATCGGGAGATACTGTTATATGGGGGCTATACGAAGTCGTGGACCTGCACCGACAATTTTCTGTCTTAGCCTGTAGTAGCCATTACGAACTTCTAATACCAACTTTGAAACAATTCCGATGAATAATGTCGCTTAAATCATCAAAATACCGAATATAGCAAGGTACCGTTATATGGAGGCTATACGAAGACGTGGATCTGAACAGACAATTTTCTATCTTAGGCTGTATTAGCCATTACGAACTTCAAATACCAATTTTGAAATATTTCCGGTGAATAATGTCGCTAAAATAATCAAAATACCGAATATCGGGAGGTATCGTTATATGGGGGCTATACGAAGACGTGGGCCTACATGGCGCATTTTCTCTATTGTGCTGTAGTATCTATTGCGAACTTCAAATACCAAATTTGAAAAAATGTTGTCGAATAATTTCGCTTAAATCATCAAAATACCGAATATTGGGAGGTACTGTTATATGGGGGCCATACCACAACGTGGTCCTACATGACCCATTTTCAATACCAAAAGTCCTGCAGACATAATATACATATGAGAAAAATTTTACTTACTTACTTCATTTCGTTCGGAAGCTAGAGTGATTTCCACAGACGGACGGACTCCTTTAAATCGACATAGGATTTCAATCCATTTCTAATTTCTTATCCGTTTTCCCAATTTCACAATCATACACACATATGCGGAAAAAACCATACCACCCTCAACCCATACACAGTTCTCGTTATGGCCCAATGTTTCTGCCTAATGCCGGTACGTGGTGTGCTCAGCAAATCTGTCAAAGGTCTGTCATTTCGTTGGCTTAGTTTTCGCACCAGCTATTGTCTTGCCTACATGGCCCTAACTGTGGCCGATAGCCTGCTAACATTGAATCTGGTACGGCGTGCTGAGTTGGATGTTCGCAACATTGGTGAGTAGAAGTGTCGCTCCGGCGGTGATAGACATCACAGCAATTGGTTGCAACACTCTACGACACAATTGATGGAGATTTTTTTTCGGTTTTTCTATTTTTCAATTTTCCATGTTTTTTCTGTGTGTGCCTGTCTTCAGAACCAATGGTTTTCCATACCACCATATTTTTGGCTTCCATTGGATTTTTACGTCTGGCCTCGAAGTGGCCGAAACTGATGCGCCGATGGCAACAAGTGGAAAGACAATTGCCGGCATACCGCACCTGGCAGGAAAGGGGAGAGTTGGCCAAGCGAATTAAGACCGTGACATTTGTTCTGATCACAATGTCGTTGAGTAAGTAGCAAAAGAAGTACCAATAGTACCAAAAGGTACGAAGATTTTAACAAAATTATAAAATAGAATTTTAGCATTCGGAAAGAGCAAGTTCTCCTATTTTTGACATCCTCAGGTTTTCTATTCTTCAAGTTGTCGATATTAACATTTCATGTATTTATCCCGCCCCAATTTCCAGCCGAGCACCTGCTGAGTACCATTTCGGCCATACACTTTGCCAACTATTGTCCGGCCACCAGTGACCCCATAGAATCGTTTTTTCGCAATGTCGTGGATCAGGTGTTCCTCGTTTTCAACTATTCACCCTGGCTGGCATGGTTGGGTAAAATTGAAAATATTCTCCTGACCTTTGGCTGGACTTATATGGATGTCTTTGTGTTAATCATTGGCATTGGTCTGTCGTCGATGTTTAAGAGAATTAAAAGGCAAATGGAACAGCACAAAGGCCAGGTGAGTAGTAGAGCCAGGCTTGATGGTGGTGGTATCAGTATTAATTTATTTTGACTTGAAACACAATCCTCTTTTCTCATGGCTTAATTATTTTTTTTTTTTGTTTTCTAATTTAGGCAATGCCCGAATCATTTTGGTGTGAAATCCGACGACAATATATGTTGATCTGTGACTTAATTGAGGAGGTTGATGAGGCTGTGTCGGGGATTATAATGCTGTCGTTTGCAAATAATTTGTATTTCGTGTGCATACAGTGCTTGAAGAGTATTAAGTAAGTTTGATAAGGATATTTGGGTCAGGATTACATCTTAAGATCCTTGAAAAATATTTTAAAATATTGAATTTTTAAAAATATTTGGTCCTAGAAAAATTTTTGGTCCTTGAAAAATTATTCCTTTAAAAAATTAAAATTTCTTTGGTCCTCGAAAAAAGTAATCTTTAAAAAATCCAAATTTCTTTGGTCCCTGAAAAAAATAATCTTTAAAAAATCCACGTTTATTTGGTCCTTAAAAAAATAATCTTTAAAAAATCGAATTTTCCACGTTTATTTGTCCTTGAAAAAAATAATCTTTAAAAAATTCACGTTTATTTGTCCTTGAAAAAAATAATCTTTAAAAAATCCACGTTTATTTGTCCTTGAAAAAAATAATCTTTAAAAAATCCACGTTTATTTGTCCTTGAAAAAAATTATCTTTAAAAAATCCACGTTTATTTGTCCTTTGGTCTTGAAAAAATTAATCTTTAAAAAATCCAAGTTTATATGTCCTTTAGTCCTTGAAAAATTAATCTTTAAAAAATCCACGTTTATTTGTCCTTTGGTCCTTGAAAAAAATTAATCTTTAAAAAAAAGTAATCTTTAAAAAATACGAATTTCTTTGGTCCTTGAAAAAAGTAATATTCGTTGAAAAAAAGTAATCTTTGGTCCACGTTTCTTTGGTCCTTTCAAAAAATATTCCTTTAAAAAATCCACATTAATTAGGTCCTTTCAAAGAATATTCCTTTAAAAAAATCCAAATTTCTTTGGTCCTTTGAAAAAATATTCCTTTAAAAATCCACGCTTCTTTGGTCCTTAAAAAAATATTCCTTTAAAAAATCCACGTTTACTTGGTCCTTGAAAAAATATTCCTTTAAAAAATCCACATTTATTTGGTCCTTGAAAAAATATTCCTTTAAAAATCCACATTTCTTAGGTCCTTTCAAAAAATATTCCTTTAAAAAATCCACATTAATTAGGTCCTTTCAAAGAATATTCCTTTAAAAAATCCACATTTCTTCGGTCCTTTCAAAAATATTCCTTTAAAAAATCCACATTTCTTCGGTCCTTTCAAAAATATTCCTTTAAAAAATCCACATTTCTTTGGTCCTTGAAAAAATATTCCTTTAAAAAATCCACGTTCATTTGTCCTTTGGTCCTTGAAAAAAGTAATCTTTAAAAAATCCACGTTTATTTGTCCTTTGGTCCTTGAAAAAAGTAATCTTTAAAAAATCCACGTTTATTTGTCCTTTGGTCCTTGAAAAAATATTCCTTTAAAAAATCCACGTTTATTTGTCCTCTGGTCCTTGAAAAAAGTAATCTTTAAAAAATCCACGTTTATTTGTCCTTTGGTCCTTGAAAAAAGTAATCTTTAAAAAATCCACGTTTATTTGTCCTTTGGTCCTTTGAAAAAATATTCCTTTAAAAAATCCACGTTTATTTGTCCTTTGGTCCTTTGAAAAAATATTCCTTCCACGTTTATTTGTCCTTTGGTCCTTGAAAAAATATTCCTTTAAAAAATCCACGTTTCTTTGGTCCTTGAAAAAATATTCCTTAAAAAATCCACGTTTATTTGTCCTTTGGTCCCTGAAAAAATATAACCTTTAAAAAATCCACGTTTCTTTGGTCCTTGAAAAAATATTCCTTTAAAAAATCCACGTTTCTTTGGTCCATGAAAAAATATTCCTTTAAAAAATCCACGTTTATTTGTCCTTTGGTCCCTGAAAAAATATAACCTTTAAAAAATCCACGTTTCTTTGGTCCTTGAAAAAATATTCCTTTAAAAAATCCACGTTTCTTTGGTCCATGAAAAAATATTCCTTTAAAAAATCCACGTTTCTTTGGTCCTTGAAAAAATATTCCTTAAAAAATCCACGTTTATTTGTCCTTTGGTCCCTGAAAAAATATAACCTTTAAAAAATCCACGTTTCTTTGGTCCTTGAAAAAATATTCCTTTAAAAAATCCACGTTTCTTTGGTCCATGAAAAAATATTCCTTTAAAAAATCCACGTTTATTTGTCTTTTGGTCCCTGAAAAAATATAACCTTTAAAAAATCCACGTTTATTTGTCCTTTGGTCCTTGAAAAAATATTCCTTTAAAAAATCCACGTTTCTTTGGTCCTTGAAAAAATATTCCTTTAAAAAATCCGCGTTTCTTTGGTCCCTGAAAAAATATAACCTTTAAAAAATCCACGTTTATTTGTCATTTGGTCCCTGAAAAAATATAACCTTTAAAAAATCCACGTTTATTTGTCCTTTGGTCCCTGAAAAAATATAACCTTTGAAAAATCCACGTTTCTTTGGTCCCTGAAAAAATATAACCTTTAAAAAATCCACGTTTATTTGTCATTTGGTCCCTGAAAAAATATAACCTTTAAAAAATCCACGTTTATTTGTCCTTTGGTCCCTGAAAAAATATAACCTTTGAAAAATCCACGTTTATTTGTCATTTGGTCCTTGAAAAAATATTCCTTTAAAAAATCCACGTTTATTTGTCCTTTGGTCCTTGAAAAAATATTCCTATAAAAAATCCACGTTTATTTGTCCTTTGGTCCTTGAAAAATATTCCTTTAAAAAATCCACGTTTATTTGTCCTTTGGTCCTTGAAAAAATATTCCTTTAAAAAATCCACGTTTATTTTTCCTTTGGTCCTTGAAAAAATATTCCTTTAAAAAACCCACGTTTATTTTTCCTTTGGTCCTTGAAAAAATATTCCTTTAAAAAATCCACGTTTATTTTTCCTTTGGTCCTTGAAAAAATATTCCTTTAAAAAATCCACGTTTATTTTTCCTTTGGTCCTTGAAAAAATATTCCTTTAAAAAATCCACGTTTTTTTGGTCCTTGAAAAAATATTCCTTTAAAAAATCCACGTTTTTTTGGTCCTTGAAAAAATATTCCTTTAAAAAATCCACGTTTTTTTGGTCCTTGAAAAAATATTCCTTTAAAAAATCCACGTTTCTTTGGTCCTTTGAAAAAATATTCCTTTAAAAAATCCACGTTTTTTGGTCCTTTGAAAAAATATTCCTTTAAAAAATCCACGTTTCTTTGGTCCTTGAAAAAATATTCCTTTAAAAAATCCACGTTTTTTTGGTCCTTGAAAAAATATTCCTTTAAAAATCCACGTTTTTTTGGTCCTTGAAAAAATATTCCTTTAAAAAATCCACGTTTATTTGTTCCTTAAAAAAAATATTCCTTTAAAAAATCCACGTTTATTTGTTCCTTAAAAAAAATATTCCTTTAAAAAATCCACGTTTATTTGTCCTTTGGTCCTTTGAAAAAATATTGCTTTAAAAAATCCACGTTTATTTGTCCTTTGGTCTTTGAAAAAATATTCCTTTAAAAAATCCACGTTTCTTTGGTCCTTGAAAAAATATTCCTTTAAAAATTTCACGTTTCATTGGTTCTTGAAAAAATATTCCTTTAAAAATTTCACGTTTCTTTGGTCCTTGAAAAAATATTCCTTGTTTTCCATGTTTATTTGTCCTTTAGTCCTTCAAAAAATATTCCTTTAAAAAATTCACGTTTATTTGTCCTTTGGTCCTTCAAAAAATATTCCTTTAAAAAATTCACGTTTATTTGTCCTCTGGTGCTTCAAAAAATATTCCTTTAAAAAATTCACGTTTATTTGTCCTTTGGTCCTTGAAAAAGTAATCTTTAAAAAATCCACGTTTATTTGTCCTTTGGTCCTTGAAAAAAGTAATCTTTAAAAAATCCACGTTTATTTGTCCTTTGGTCCTTGAAAAACTTTTCCTTAAAAAACCATGTTTATTGTCCTTTGGTCCTTGAAAAAATATTTTATTCAAAAAATCCACGTTTCTTTGGTCGTTAAAAATTATTCTCTAAATTTTTATTTCTCCCTTTAGCACCATGCCCTCCATCGCCCATGCCATCTACTTTTATTTCTCCTTCATGTTCCTGCTGGCCCGCACCCTGGCTGTATCGCTGTACTTGGCCGAGGTAAATGATCGCAGCCGTGATCCTCTGGCCATACTCAAATATGTACCGACCAATGCCTATCACATCGAAGTAGAACGATTTGCAATGGAAATCAATTCGATGTCGGTGACTATGACGGGCCTGCGATATTTCGATATTACCAGGAAATTGGTATTGACGGTAAGTTGGTGGCATACCATGGCCATTTTCGGGGAGAACTAACTTCAACACTCAACCATGACATAATCATAATATATTAATTAACCAATAAAGTAGATACAACCATTAAATCGGAGTGCCACCAAAATTGGATTCAAAATCACAAATTGAAAAAAAAAAATCGTTTGAAAATTTCTGTTTTTATTAACCCAACCCAGATTTATGGTGGCTTTGATTTTTTTCACTCTCTCTCTCTCTCTCTCTCTCTCTCTGTCTCTCCCTCTCTTTATAGGTAGCTGGAACAATTGTCACGTACGAACTGGTTTTAATACAATATCACGAGGATCAAAAACTATGGTACTGTGGCAACGAGTGAATTCCAAGCCAACTCCAACTCCAACCACCACCACGACGACGTTGGACATCAAACACGACTTTTCTGAAGCATGGCCATTAGCCATGCATACCGCATGCTGTAGCCAACAAATGAGTGGTGTAGTGATGTTGCATTCGATCCAATTTTCAATTCAAATTGGCAAACAACAACAAATTGTAAATAATGTGAATTAAAGAAAAAAAATGGTTATTAATATTTGTTGTTCACTTTGTTTAGTTGTTCGAAAAAGGCAATACAAAATGCGTTAAAAATTCATTATTGACATTTCTGTGTTTGTAGTTTTTTTTTTCGTTTTGTTTTTCTCTTTGTCATACCAAATATCCCCTCTGGGTAACGCAATATCGGAAGAAATTGCATTAGAAGCCATCCACTTCCTTTGACCATAAATCAATGTCCAAAGATATCAAAATCATACACACGATTTGGCTCTGTGACAATGTTGACATAAGTTACCTTGTAGTCAGTTTTTTCTTCAGGGACAGTGGGAGCAGAACTTAAAAAAATTGTAAAAAAATAAAAAAAAAACAGTAAGGAAAAGTCAAAAGTCGGGCAGGGCCGACTATATGATACCCTACCCTAGAGCTCCCGTAAGAAAAGAATTTATTTGAAGTAGATCATACAACCTCTCAATATTTAGCTTTAGAGCGGTTACAGTTTGGTTTCAGAGGTTACTAATATATAGGAGGCATATCCAATTCTGAATTGATTTTCACTAAACTTGACAGATATACCAAATAAAATTGCTATAGAGTGCATGATATCACTTCGAGAAGGATTATATTAAAAACAAGTAAAAAAGCTGTAAGTTCGGCCGGGCCTAACTTTTAATACCCTCCACCATTCGGTACAAATTTGGAAATTTCCAAAAAAATAAAATCCGTTAAAAATTCTGTTAAAATATTAATAATACCAAATGCCTATACGACGACGTGGACCTGCATAGGCAACTTTTGTCACCGGCTATTGCAATATTCAAATGCGAAACTTGAAAAAAGTCTGTTGATAATGTAGCTAAAATCATCAAAATACCGAATATAGGGAGGTACCACGGGGGTTATAAAACGTGGACCTGCACAGTCAATTTTCTGGCATAGGCTGTAGTATCCATTACGAACTTCAAATACAAAATTTGAAATAATTTCGGTAAATAATATCGCTTAAATAATCAAAATACCGAATATCGAGGGGTACGTTATATGGAGGCTTTACGAAGACGTGGACCTGCACAGACAATTTTCTGTCATAGGCTGTAGTATTCATTGTGAAATTCAAATACCAAATTTGATACAATTCCGGTAAATTATGTCCCTAAATTCGTCAAAATACCGCATATCGGGATGTACCGTTACATGGGAGCTATACGAATATGTGGACGAACATGTCCCATTTTCAATACCAAAAGTCCTGTAGACATAATACGCATTTGAGTAACATTTTATCAACCTACTTCATTTCGTTCGGAAGCTAGAGTGATTTCCACAGACAGACAGACGGTCGGACATTGATAAATGGACATAGGATTTTATGCTGATCAAGAATATATATATTTTGTGGGGTCTAAATGTATATTTCGAGGTGTTACAGACGGAATGACAAACTTAATATACCCTCCATACTATGGTGGATGGTATAAAAATATATTTCGGAGCCGAGTTCCACAAAATGAAAACATACATCCCGAAATTCACTCCATTTTTTTCTGATTTAGCCATTATTTGCACAATAAACCTGAAATCGAATTAAGGATATATATGGGAGCTATATCCAAATCTAAGACGTTCTCCATAAAATTTGGCAAAAGTATTTCTGAGCTCCAAAGTACCAAATATCATTGATGTCGAATGCATATTACGCATGTGAGGGACTTAAACAAACCAAAGCGGATGAAACATATATATATGCTATGCCTATAACTGAACCGATTTTCTCCAAATTTGTAGTACTTGCTTCTAGACTGTATTCGGTCGGATGTACCAAAATTCAGGTCATTTGGACTGATATTGGTCATTTTGCGTACAATTAACCCGAAATCGGTTGAAGATAAAGGCCGAGTTCAAAAAACTGCAACCAATTTCAGACTGCTGTCATTTCTAAGCCACCCGTCCGATAGCTGTTAAAATTATTCCAGTGACAGCTCATTGTGTTGTTTACAAGCGTACAAAATCATTTTGGTGAGAATTTTCCAGAAAAAAAGTTATTCGTGATGGAATTCAAGCGGGATAGTGTGATTTCTTTATATTTGGCTGGAAAACCACAAGTGGCTATCGTTAGAGCACTCCAGCATTTAAATGTGAATAAATCTTTTGTGACTCGTACCATCGCTCGTTACCGATTACGTGATACTGATAGCGTAGCCCGACGTCAAGGAAGTGGCCGGAAGAAAACACAGCAACATCAGCAGAAATGGTTCGAAAAGTAAAGAAGCGACTTGATCGAAACCCTCATCGCTGTAGCTGAAAAATGACTCGTGAGCTGAACATATGGCAATATTCCATTCGGAAAATATTGAAAAATGCGCTCGGGGTAATGCCATTGAAATTCCAAAAAATGCAAGAACTTACACCGCAACAGAAAGAAAATAGACTGAAAAGAGCTAAAGAGTTGCTTCGCTTGGCCGAAAGTGGTGAATTGCCGAATTTGGTTTTCTCCGTCTCCGATGAGAAAACATTCATTGTCCAGCAGTTTGTAAACAAAGAAAATTATCATGTTACTTGCCAAAGAGGTCAGCTAAAAATGTGCACCTTCGGTTGGTCGCCAGAACTCGAGCGCCGGCCATGCTGATGGTGTGGGCCGCCATAACAGCCGATGGTCGCTCCCCGCTTGTATTAATCGACCGTGGCATCAAAATAAATGCGAAATAATATCGCGAAAATATTCTGGAGGGTGTATTAAAGCTTGGGCACGCAAACATTTTAACCGCATACCTTGGACATTCCAACAGGATTCAGCATCATCGCACTCAGCACGCGCCACCCAAGAATGATTACAAAATGAGTTTCCAGCGCACAATGGCCACCAAAATCTCCGAATAACAATCCTATTGTGTCTGGAGTATTCTGGAAAGCAAGGTTGGCACTAAAAAATACCAAAGTGTCGATTACCTCAAACAAGCGCTTCGCCGGGAATGGGCCAAAATACCGCAGATCAACATTCGGACAGCGTGTGACAGTTTCATTGGCCGTTTGAAGACCATAATTTGTGCCAATGCTGACCAATTCGAACAAATCTAAACTTATTCTAAAATTTGAAGCTATTTCCGACATTTTTTGCTTTCATTCAATAAAATTTAACAAAAATGTAAAAATTATGGCTTTTGACTTTGTTCGAGTTTTTTTTATCTCACCCTGTATACCATCTTCACAACAGATCTTTTGTGGACAAAAATTATTGTATGTGTAAAATTTGAAGAGAGTTTGAAGCTTATTTCGATTTCATTGAGTATTTTATTTTTTAAAATCGTGAATCCTATGTGGAGGAGGTACCAGAAGAAATGGTTCGATCTCTACAATCATTACAACAGATCTTGCGCTGATGGAAATATGTGAAATGTGTTTCGCGTTTCATTGTTATTCAACAATTTGACCCTTTGTGGGGAAGAAGTGGGCCGTTACATTCCATCTTCACAGCCGATCTTGTGTTAGTAGAAATATTGGGCTGTGTAAAATGTGAAGAGACCCGGATGCTTATTTCAGATTTTATTATCGTTTTGGTTATTTAGAAATTTGACACTTTGTGGGGGAGGTGCCAGAAGAAATAGTTCGATCTCTACCATATTTATAACAGATCTTGCGCTGTTAGAAATATTAGGCTGTTTCAAGTCTGAATGGAATCGAATGTTAATTTTTCGTTTTGTGAACTTCTTGGTTATTCACAATTTTGACCCTTATGTGGGGAGACACCAGAAGGAGTGGACCGATATATTCCATTTTCACACCAGACCTTTGGTTGATAAGAATATTGTGATCTGTGTAATTTGAACACAATCGGACACTTACATACTGTTTTATACAAGTTATAAGTATTCAAAATTTTGACGCTTTTGACGCCTAGAACTGATGTAAATATTAGAATATTGCAAAGTTGGGGCAAAATCGGATTATTCTTTCTCTCTCTCTCTCTCTCTCTCTGTGCAGTAAAATATTTTCTTAGAAAATTTCGACCTTTTGACGGAGTGGATTGATGTTGTCCATCTCCGAACTCGATGTACGTTTGACAATAATGTTACGATGTAATAAGTTTTGACCGAACCGGATACTCCCTTCGAGATTTATCGTAAGCACCTGCCGGACAGACAGACCGAGGGACGGACAGCCCTCGATCGAGACCACATGTTCTGAAACGGATAAAGTCCAAAGAATCTAAAATCTTCATTTCGATTAGGAATGTTTTGATCATATCAAATGATGTATACCATCTGCAGCCATACGGCCGAGGGTATAAAAAATAGTGTTACCAATTTAAAACTTTTCAGTCGGTGTTTCGACTCGCATTTTTTGTCAGTTTATGTATATGCACCAGCCCTATATAAGGACCAATGGAGTGCGGGATATATTTACCAAAGGGTTCTAACTTTAAAGTTACGGAAAGTTCTAAAATGGCACCATTTGGCATTATGTGAACTTAAAATTAAGTACGAGGATCAATGTTGGAAAGTAAGTTTGATATATAAATTCGGTTTTGAAAATAGGTCCTAAGTAGGTCCTAAGTAAATTGGAACAATTTGGTTTGGATGAACGGATGAAGCTTGAATTTTTAAATTCTGTAGTGGGGTCCCTGTTGGTGGTTGGACGGGGTTCTGGAAACGGCTACTACAAATACATGAAAAGTTATAAATAGTACTACATATATTTGGTGTAATTTGGTATTGGGTGAAGAGGTGATGCTTGAAATCTGAAAATCTGGACATATGGAGGTGGTTTTGAAAATATGTACTACAATTGTACGAAAAATACTATATACTATACTATATTTGATATTGGCGGAAGGGATAAAGACAATATTCTGAAATTTGATATTTAGTTCTCTGTTGGCATCTGGAAATTTATATAGGATAGATATAGAGGTGATTTTGGAAATGTGTACTATAATTGGTTTGGTATTGGATGAGGGGAATCCTCAAATAGATATTTGGGTCTCTCTTAGTATCAATAATTGAGATATTGAGATGGATTTGGAAATATGTAATATAATTGTACGAAAAGTACAAAATTTGATTTTGGATGAAGGGATAAATCTCGAATCATCAAATTTGATATTAAGTACCCTGATGGTATATCCATTGTGCTATGGTTTTTACTAATATCCTTCTGGGTAAACTTGAAAACAAAGGATTTTTGACGTAAAAGGTGAGCATTTTCCAATTATTTTTTCCGAAACAAGGAAAATCTTGAATAACATATAAAACCTTGACTGTCTGAAAATTTAGTATAAAAATGTTTGAAGGTTTGAACAATTTTTTTTATTTTGAGTACTAAAAGGGCCTGAATTTAAAGTTTTAAGGTGGTCTTTTCTCTGACAAAATACCGGGCACTTGCTAGTTTTTTTAATTTTTTTTTTTTTTCAATTATCCAGACATTTGTTTTACATAACAAATGACAATTTGTAGTTTTCCTATAAAAATAATTATTAATAATTATTTAATTTTTTTTTTCATATTACCACAAATAGATTTTTTTCTAAAATATTTTTGTCCCACTGTGTTGCACTACTGTTACATATCACCTTCTCTCTCGTTATTGGTCTTCTTTCCTCAAAAAAGGTGAACACAAAGAGCCTGTCAGCAGCACAAGCAGAGACCTCCTCGTTGCCAACCTCCCCCTCCCCGACGATGTTGACAACACTTGTAACCTGTTTCATGATTTCATTGTTAATGCCGTTTGCTTCACTTGAGCTTTGGCATTATTGTGCAACTTGGCGTAATCCATCATTTGTGTCCGTCAGCCATTGTGACTTGTTGTGTAATTATTGGTCACATTGTCATCTGCAGCCAGGCAGTCAGGAGTTACAGATTCCAGCATTAAAACTGCTTCAGCACAATCCAGTTAACATGGCTCATTGGCCCAGTTAACATGGCTCAAATTCCCTTGCTATTGCAGTGATCCTGCTGAGGTTTGAGATGCGATGACAAGTGACGATGAGTTTTTTTCTTTTTTGAGGGAAATCGGAAATGTTGTTGGCAGGAATTCTTATAGTGGCCGGTAACTTGGCATTAACATTCGACTGAACCGATGAAATTTCCTCTACACAATTTGGTTCGAAAGGGGAGAAATAACTAAAGTAGCCTTCTTTTGAGATTGGATCCTGGGAAATTATGTTGTGTTGTATTGGCCATCAACAATGGAAAACCGATAACAGAAAACTGCCAGCATTTTGTACAACATTGTTTCGTATGAGCTGCATTGGATTTGGAAAGAAAAATATTTGCCGACATCATCATGCGATTGTTCGTTTCCCAGAAACTATCCATTTCAACATTCGAAATATTCCAAACACGTCGTTAATGGTCATATCGATACTAGTTAAGAGCTTGGTAATGACAAATACTTATGTGTAACCCATTGTTGTCGGATTTTTTAATTAAATGTAACAATAATTTTGTAACACTTAACAAGATGACGGGACATTGTCTGAGTGTGATACAATTTGTTTCCTAACAATTTCACAAGCATTTACGGGCGAGGAAATTGATTATTTGTAAATTTTAGTTCAATTAATTTTTAAGGAACAGGAGACCAGTAACTGAGGATTTTTTAAAGAATATTTATCAAGGACTAAGGGATATTTGTCAAGGACAATCACAGAAAATATATATTCAAAATATATATATTCAAGGATCAAGAGGTCAATAATAGTGGATTGTTTAAAGTTTTTTTTTCAAGGATCAAGATATCGGTAAACCTGAAATTTTTTTCAAAGAGAAACCACAAACTTGAATTTTTTTAAAAAAAATATTTTTTCAAAAACCAATGGACGAAGATTTTTTCAAATAGTGGAGTACTGAAAATTTATAAGGGTGGATTTTCAAAGTATGTTTTTCGAGGACCAATAGATCAAAAAAAGCGGATTTTTGAAAGTTATATTTTCAAGGACCAAGATATAAGTAAGCGTATGTATCCTGAGAATTTTTTTCAAGGACCAAGATTTGTAAACGACCAAGAGATCAGAGAGCATAAAGAATATTTCTTAAAGAATTTGTTATGGGACCCACTGGCCTCTGATCTGTATTTCTTAAAGGATGTTTTTCCGAGGATCACAAACTTGGCTTTTGGAGGATATTTCTTCAAGGACCAATGAGATTAGTTTTTTAAGGGATATTTAATGTTTTAATCAAAAACAATATTTATTTTAGTATAAAAAATCGTGGCTTTCTTGAAGTATATTAATTCAATGACCAATGAATGTGTATTTTTTAAGGATATTTATTCATGGACCCAGAGGTTACTTATCGTGGATCTCTTGTGGTAGGACATAATTTCTAGGGCCAAGAGATCAATAAGCTTAATTTTTTTGCATTTTTTTTTTCAGAGATCAGCGAAAAAAATAGCTAAGCTTGGATTTTTTGGGATGATAGTTTTTCGAGCACCAAGATTACTGTTTGAGGGATATTTTTTTAAGGAACGAGATTTAAAACATCAATATGCCTGATTTTTTTAAGGAAAACATATTCAATGACCACAAAATCAATAACTGTTTAGAAAATATTTTCTTCAAAGATTAAAAAGAGTGCATTTTTAAGGACCAAGACATCAACAAATTTGCGTGGATTATGTGAAGGATATTTTCTTAATTGCCAACAGATCACTAAGCGTGGATTTTAAAAGAAATTTTTTCACACCACCAATCGTCGTGGATTTTAGAGGATATTTTTTTGAGGACCACCAAACCATTAAACTTTGAAATTTATAACGAATATTTTTTTCGAGGATCACTTGAACAATCATTGAGGATTTTTAAAGAATTTTTTCTCAAGAACCACTGGACCAATCGGCGTGGATTTGTTAAAAAAAAATATTTTTTCAAGGACCACTAGACCAAGCAGCTCGAATTTTTAAAGAGAATTAAAGATTACTTATTTCAAGGACCAAAGGACAAATGCACTTGGATTTTTAAAACATTTTTTTTTCAAGAACCAAAGGACAACTACACGTGGATTTTTTAAAGATTTCTTTTTTCAAGGACCAAAGGACAAACACACGTGGTTTTTTAAAGATTTCTTTTTTCAAGGACCAAAGGACAAACACACGTGGTTTTTTAAAGACTTATTTTTTCAAGGACCAAAGGACAAATACACGTGGTTTTTTAAAGACTTATTTTTTCAAGGACCAAAGGACAAATACACGTGGATTTTTTAAAGACTTATTTTTTCAAGGACCAAAGGACAAATACACGTGGATTTTTTAAAGACTTATTTTTTCAAGGACCAAAGGACAAATACACGTGGATTTTTTAAAGACTTATTTTTTCAAGGACCAAAGGACAAATACACGTGGATTTTTTAAAGAATTTTTTTTTTCAAGGACCAAAGGACGAATAAACGTGGATATTTTAAAGATTACTTATTTCAAGGACCAAAGGACAAATATACGTGGATTTTTTAAAGAATTTTTTTTCAAGGACCAAAGGACAATTGCACTTGGATTTTTAAAACATTTTTTTTCAAGAACCAAAGGACAAATACACGTGGATTTTTTAAAGATTAATTTTTTCAAGGACCAAAGGACAAATACACGTGGATTTTTTAAAGACTTATTATTTCAAGGACCAAAGGACAAATACACTTGAATTTTTTAAAGACTTCTTTTTTCAAGGACCAAAGGAGAAATAAACCTGGGCTTAAAAATAAAATTCAAACATAGATTTTTAAAGAATATTTTTTAAGCAATAAACAAAGGACAAATAAAATTTGGATATTTTAATGAATATTTTTTTCAAGGACTAAATAATATTTTTTCAAGTTCCCAAGGACCAACAAACGTAGGTGGTGTACTAAACGTGGACTTTTTAAAGAAAATATTTTTAAGCACCAAAAGAAAAAAATTGGATATTTTAAAGAATGTTGTTGTTGTATTTTGTTGACCTGCTATATTTATTTTACTTATTTGGTTAATTGCTTGGTTTAAGGTCATTTAAATACTATGTTTTTTATTTTTGAATTTTTCCTTTTTTATTCATCCAATTTTAAAGAATATTTTTTTCAAGGACTAAGGAACCAAAAAGAAAAGGATTTTATAAATCGTGGATAATTTAAATAATATTTTCTCAGGTACCCAAGGACCAAAAAACCTAGGTGGAGTAGTAAATGTGGATTTTTTTTAAATAATATTTATAAATTATAAGGACACATTGATCAATAAAATTTGAATTTTTTGAAGAATATTTTTTCAAGGACCGCATAAAATTGGATTTTTAAAGAACATTTTTCAGAGACATTTTTTTAAGAACAAGAATAATTTTTAAGAATTTTTAAGGAACAATGGACAAATAAAACGTGAACCAATAAAAGGTGGACCAATAAACGAGGATTATTTAAAGAATATTTTTCCAATTGCTAGAGGACAAATAAATGTGGATTTTTTAAAAAATATTTATTCAAGGACCCAAGAAACGTGGATATTTTAAATAATATTTTTTCAAGGATCAAATAAACCTGGATTTTTTAACAATGTTGTATTGGAGAACCAAAGCAACGTGGATATGTTAAAGATTTTTTTCAAATAATATTTTTCTCAAGGACCAAAAAAGCATGGATTTTTTGAAGAACATTTTTTCAATGATCAAATCAACGTGGATTTTTTAAAGAATATTTTTTCAAGGACCAAATTGAACGTGAATTTTTTTAAGAATATTTTTTAAGGACCAATTGAACGTGGATTTTCTAAAGAATATTTTTTCAAGGACCAAATTGAACGTGAATTTTTTTAAGAATATTTTTTAAGGGCCAAATGAACGTGGATTTTTTAAAGAATATTTTTTCAAGGACCAAATGAACGTGGATTTTTTAAACAATATTTTTTCAAGGACTGAATAAACGTAACCCAAAGTAAAAAAATGCATGTACCAAAGAACAAAAAAAATTGGATTATTTAAAGAGTACATTTTCAAGGACCAAAGGACAAATATAATTCGGATTTTTCAAAAAATATTTTTTCAAGGTCAAGGGACAAATGGATGCTGATTTTTCAAAAAATATATACCAATTTTCAAAAATATTAAAAATATTTTGTGTTTAGAGAAACATGCAAGCAGAGGTTTATACATATATTAAAAGAAAAAACATAAATCGGAATTATAATCATAGATTTAGTTTTATTTTCAAGTCATTTTAGAGATCTAATTGTGGATT